CTTTTCTACATCAATGATCTTGTTGTAATAATTTTTCTGCACTTCTTCAACTTTCTCCTTACAGCATTTCTATACTTCATTGACGTCTTTCTTTATGTTCTCAGTCTCGTTGTAATCCCTCTGAATATCTCCAATAGCTTTATTGATCTTGTTTTCAATCAGATTTATTTTTGTTCATAATTATTCTTTAAGTTTTACATCTCCTTCCTTTAACTCTTCTCTAAATTTCCATCTCTTACCTCTTGATCTTCTAAAATTTTCTACAAATTTTTTTAGTCTTATTTTAATGTGCTATTTTTTCTCTTTTTTATTTTCTGTAAATGTCTTCTTGTTATTCTATTATTTTTATATCTCTTTGTTTAATCTTCTGTCTCGTTTTTCTAATTTTTGGTCTCTATTTCTTCTTGACCTTCTCTTACTTTTCTGTATTGATTTTAATTTTTTGGACCTTTTTAATTGTTTCATTATATCTAAAAAAGCTCCGATCTCGCTTCGTGATTAGGTTGTCAAATTGAAATTTAGTCAAAGTTATATATTTGTTGTTGTTTTGTTTATAATTAAGCACAAAGCTACACAATGGGCTATCTGTGCTCTGCCCACCACGGGTATCGAAACCCGGATTCTAGCGTTGTAAGTCCGCAGACATACCGCTGTGCTACTGGGGGCATATATTTGTTACCAAAATAATCCCATTTCTGACACCTTGTTTCTAACATAGTCCATCATTGGATGGGTTCGTTTGGAGTATTTGGCAAAATAATGCGAAGTTCAGATATAACGAATTACCTCATTTCTTCAATAAACGTTTGTTACAGCCACTTTCACTTATATACCTAATTTCATAAGTAAACTTGTCAACATAAACTCCACAACTAATTATAGTCCTAACTTCAAATACAACATTTCAAAACAAAGTGCAAAACGTACACCTAACTTAATTAGTTTGATAGTTAAACTTTCACATAACTCACCAGTAACTGAAAAGAGAAATTGACGCGATAACTCTAGCTGAATAACTTTTTTGACACTTAACTAACTGAAATTGCTGAAAGTATAAAATGAAATGTATAGACAATAAAACTGGGAAAATGCTTATTGATTTCTTAGTTTAGAATCTCCATTGATTTATTTACAAGGTTTATTTTTTACAAATTAAAAACGCTGGTGATATAACAGAAAATAGCTTAATTCAGAAACGATTTAAGTTTAAAACTGAA